TATCAGCAAAGGAGAACATGGATGTGTGAACAATATCAGGGGTTATTTTTTTCATAATCAGGTTGAGTTTATCTTGTCATCTTTTTTTTAAAACTAGAAAACTCCCGCTCTGGGTGTTGTTGCTCAATGTTTAGAGCCTCGACCCACTCACTGAAGAGTTGTGGGTCAGATGCTGGGCAAGGGCACGTGCATGGGTTGCAGGTTTGATCCCCAGCCCTGGTTGGGGCATATGCAGAAGGCAACCAATAGATGTGTCTCTCTCACATAGATGTCTCTCTCACATCTCTCTCTCTCTCTCTCTCTCTCTCTCTCTCTCTCTCTCTCTCTCTCTCCCTCCCTCCCTCCCTCCCTCCCTCCCTCCTTCCCTCCCTCCCTCTCTCCCTCCCTCTCTCCTCTATTTCTCTATCTGCCCTCTCTCCCTCCCTTCCACTCTCTCTTAAATAAAAAACAAAAATCAATGGGAAAAAATATCCTCTGGTAAGGATTAACAACAAAAAAAACAAAAAACAAAAAAGTAAATTTACAAGTAAGCATGATAAAACATGCTTTGACATCTGGTAAAGAAATATTCAGGTCAGTCAGCACCTCTCACCTGGTCTTGCACACAGAGGTTATTCTGAGGTGCCTGTCCAAAAGCCCCTGATGAGGGAGAAGCTTTCTGGCCACCTTCAAAGCTTTCCACCTATTCATTACAATCCGCAATAGGAAGGAACAACATTTAACTGCAATTTTAAGCTTGGTTTCCAGAGTGTGAGTCCCTTCCTTATGCCACATTTCATAAAGATGTCTGAAATGTTCTACCATGACTCTTTGAATCTTTTTAAACCATTAAAACAAAAGTTTGTAAAGTCAACACTCCTAGCCTCAAATCTAGCATTTCTGTAAGTTGGAATCCAAAGTCCTTTGGTGATTTCCATCTCTATCACTGCCTCAGTAAACCCAGTGACCTTAACAATAACTTTTCTATTTCCCAAGTGAGTTTCAGAGTCTCGAGGATTTATAATTTAAAATTTCTCTCCTGTTTTGGAAAACCTGTCATTTCACATAGATTTGAGCTCTTCCAACTTCCCTAACTGTGTGAAGTTGGGAGTGGGATGATATTTTCACTTATCCTTCTAGATTTTCTCTAATATTGATTTAAGTCTGCACTCTTCACCAAATTTGTCATTGCTGTTTTGACAATCTGAATATTTAGACACACACACACAAAAAAAATTACTAACACCTCTAAACCTAAACAACCTGCCTGCATTACTCTGGCCAGAAGTGAATTCCCTTCCCATCAAATCTTCAGAGTAGTATTGTTTTGTTTGTTTGTTTGTTTTGTATTTTTATTTATTTCCGAGAGGAAGGGAGAAGGAGAGAAACATCAATGATGAGAGAAAATCATTGATTGGCTGCCTCTTGCACACCCCCTACTGGGGATTGAGCCTGCAACCTGAGCATGTGCCCTTGATCAGAACAGAACTTGGAACCCTTTACTCGCAGGCTGATGCTCTATCCACTGAGCCAAACCAGTTAGGGCATTCCGGGCAGTGTTTTGAGTATATTTCTTTACTAAGTGGTCAATAAAAATGGACAGAAAATACTTTGAATATGCACTATTTTTAGTGGGCCTCAGTGGCTAGCTCAGTGCCATGCGCTAAAAACGTTTAACAAGTCTATGGGGACTGCAATACTCAGACTCCACCAATGACAGCTTTATCCATCATACAACTCTGCAAAATTAAAGAGTTCAAGAGACCCCCAATGGTGGCGCTAAACTGTTCTGTCAATGTGTGTAACCAACTATTGCAGAAATTAACTCCTCACATATCTGTGATGATTTGACAAACAATATTAGTCATGTAAACTTTGTTAAAAAAAAAATAGGCAACAATGAACCATAAAATACGCTAATGATCTGATTTTAGAGGCTATCAGACCATGCCTATCCAATTTCATAAAATCCATGTTAATGGTTTAGCCACTGGAATCAGTGCACACAACCTAAAGGATCCCAAAAGCATAAGACACAAGCACCCGGGACTAAATGTTCAGCAATAGCTGTGTCTTAACCAAACTGTTAGGCCATTACTAGGCTTAAGTAAGAAAAACAAGTAATTGAAGTAATGGTACGAAGTTTGAGCAATAAACTATTATGGTTCAAACCAATAAAAAACATCCTTTCAATTGAGAAAATATAAAAAGATAACTCCTAGGGGTATTTTTTTAATCTAATTTTTATCCATCTGTAAGGGATATAACATTATAAGAACTCATTTTAATTTTATTTCTTAGAATCCCTTGTCTCCAATAATCAAATTAAATACAACATTTATTATTATGATGTTTGGTTATACTTCAATAATAATGGGTATAATTATAAACTGTGAAAATTAATAAACAAAACCTCATTTAAAATGGAGTCAAGCCAAAACCGGTTTGGCTCAGTGGATAGAGCGTTGGCCTGTGGACTGAAAGGTCCCAGGTTCGATTCCGGTCAAGGACATGTACCTTGGTTGCGGGTGCATCCCCAGGGTGGGGTGTGCAAGAGGCAGCTGATCGATGATTCTCTCTCATTGATGTTTCTAACTCTCTATCCCTCTCCCTTCCTCTCTATAAAAAAAAACAACAACAATAAAATATATTTTTAAAAATAAATAAATTAAAAAAAAAATGAAAGGAGTCAGGAGACTAGAAAACTGTCATGCACATGTAGACCAACTGACCCGGAGAAAAAGAGACAAGCCTTGCATCTCCAGCAGGAGGAAGGAGAGACTCCTCCTGGCTCTGGAGCAGCTCAGCCAATGGGAGGCTGTCTAGCTCAGCACTGAAAAGTCACTGTGCTTTGAACTTGTAGTTTCCTCCAACTGCCCCTCCCAAGTCCACAAAACTCTCTTTTGCTTCCCTCTATGTATGTGTGGTTTACCATTAGACCCCACATCCAGAATTGCAATTCTTTGTTGTTCCTTAGTAAACTATTTTGCTGGACAAATACCAGGCAGTGAATTAAAACCCAACAGCTTTCTTTTTTTTTTTTTTTCTTTTTTTTTAAAGCTAAGAACTTAAACTACCTTATTTCATTTAAAACTTTAGGACAACCTCTACAGTGGGTGGTGTTGCCCCCATTTTATAGAAGAGAAAAGTGTGGTTGGGTGACTCTAGCCACTCCACAAAGCCATGCTGCCACCAGAAAGGACAGGCTAGAGACACCCCAGGCTGCCTTGGCCCTCAGCCTGCGCTCTTCCCACCCACTCCATTACTCCCTGCAATCATTCTTCTGGCCTGACCATTGGGAACCAACCCTTCAAAGTAAGTTTCTCAGACAACTGTGGGCCAGTAACAGTGAGGACTTACTTGCTGAAGACCATAGAAATGCTTTAGTTACCTGGACAGGAGTCCATAGTTTTAGTGAAGTTCACAAATGTCATGGTGGTTTTTGTTAATAGTAGAGGCTTGCACTGTCTCCCACCATGCAATGACAGGGAAGGGAGGGAAGGTTTTAGCTGAAACAATCATTTCCCCCAAACTTCACGTGTTCCCTCAGATCTGTGCCTCTGGTCTTCATTCCCTGAGAAATCTGGTCATCATCTGCAGGCCACCCTGCAGCTGTGCTCGCTGCACCTGAGCTTAATGAATGCTCTGAGAGGGAAGGACAGCAAAAATGAAGCCACCAGGCAGGGCTGAGCAGGAAAACCCATTCTGCATTTTGTGGTGGTCCCTGAAAGGAAGGGGTTAGATTCAAACCCACTGGACATTAACTTTCTCATATCTCCACTCCTCGATCCACATTTTTATTCATAATCTCACTGTCAAGTTACAGGTGGAAAGTTGGCAGAATTAAGCACATTTATTTCACAACTTATTAAAAAATCAATTATCATTTAAATACTTTTTCTCCCTATTCCCACTGCTTTCTCACAGAAAAATGCATTATTCTTAAATCTGCTACATTTAAGAATAAGACAATAAAAGACAATAAAAAAGAGTAAAATCTAGATCAAGAATAGGAGTATTTAAGAGCAAGTGGTTGAAAAAAATGTAATTGGTGCAGTTATTATTTTCAAAAGCAAAATGGTTTAAAGACAGCAATAGATAAAAGCACCTCAAAGTCTTATTAGATCTATTTGGACTATTCATATGGTTAATAATTGTGTATATATATATATATATATATATGTGTGTGTGTGTGTGTGTGTGTGTGTGTGTGTGTGTAAAAATAATAGATATTCAGATGCATGGTCCCCTTGTAGCCCAGTTCAATTTTGAAAAATATAAGACAAATTTTTTAAAACTAGCAATATGAAATAAACTAGTGAAACATGTTACTATTATAATACGTAAATATTCCATAGCAACAGATAACAAAAATAATAATGATCACTGTCAACAACAATGCCTGACATTTGTAGGGATCAGACTAGGGACTATGTAATTTAAATGCATAATCTCTTAGAATCATTAAAAAGAAATGATAGAGGCATTTTTCTTTTTCTTATCCCTGTTTCAAGGATGAGGAAACTGAGGCTTGGAGAAGTTGAATAATTTGTACAAATAGTAGCATTGGGACTCAAAGTCAACTTTTGTCTTAAACACTATACTAAAACTTAAAGATCTTCATTCAAATCAGTTAAGTTGACTTCTAAGAGCACCTTTTGAGAATCATCTTCTAGGGATGGACTCAAAATGTGGTAATGAAAGAAACATTTTAAAATACTTTTGAAAATTTGGAAGTGAGAGGACTATTAAAAAAGTAATTTTAATTCCTAAGACGAAGCAACAGCAAAGAAACTCATTAGAAAATCCTGAACCCCTGTGTGGGTAGAATTCTACCAAAGGCTCTCCCTGATTTCCTTTGGGATCTATGCATCTGAACTAAAATTTTTGCATTCTTCTTTCTTGTCCATATATTCCATGATATCATATAAAGCAGATTATGTATTTGGGAAAAGAATGTAAGTAAACCGTAACTTTCCAGTCACACTAAGAATATAAAAGTTTGTAACTCTGGACCATACCTTAGTTTTCATGAACTTGGAGTGACTTTTGTAAACCTCTATTTGTTTGATCTCTTCTTCACGGTCCTCAGTGTTCAGCACACCACTGGCTTTTAACATCTGGATCTCATCCTCAAGATCCCTTATGTTTCGCTCCAATGAAGCAATTTTTGTGTCCTGTTTGTGAAATTTAAAATAAAGAGAGAGAGAGAGAGAAAATAATTGTTTTAATGTTATCAAAACAGAATTTCAGATAGGAATTTTGGTAATAATAGATTAACTATGATGTAGACATAGCTGTGAATTCAGAACATTTTTTTTCACTTCTAAGGAACGTTTATGAGGTTATTTTTTAAGCTCCTAACAAAGATCATGTCGCAATAGAATACAGAGCTACCTAGATACGTTTGCCTAATATCTGGGAATCAAATTACCAAAGCAATAGTGATAAAAGTGAAGATATCATTTAAAGCGTTCACATCTTTAAGTTAAGATATATTCTTAAGTATATATTCTTAAGTCTACTTGTAAACATAAAAACTGTGTGCTCATGTGTATATTCTGTGGCTGGTTTTATAAGGCATGCTTGGAATTTGACTGTGAGAGAAAAGGAAATTAAAATCTACTAATGAGAAAAAGGATTCTCATCTAAAATGCAGACATACGTGAAATTAAATAACTGAAATGTGCCTTAGTATGACTGATACCTAAATATTAAAAGTTATATAGTAACTGGAAATAATATATCACAACGTCATGATTTACTTGGCAAGCTGTCAGCTCCTAGCCTTGCAGAAACATTACTACCTTGAAGGGTATTTCTAACCAACTGATTTACAGTAAAAAACAAAACAAAAACAAACAAGCTGAGAACGTGAGATTGAGGAAAAAAAATAACCATAGAGAATCTTTTAAAGGAAATGACAAACTCTGTATACACTCTAGATAGAGCATCATAAGAAATGAAGCCTTAGAAAGTAGAGAAGAGAAAGCTCTTATGGGGGGCGGGGGGTGGGGGGAGAAGACATCCTGCAAACTTGATTATTAAACTCAAGTCAATCTTGTAAATGAAACGTTGAAAATTTTCACTTAAGTTTTTCCACAATCACCATCTACCTGCCATTTAATTGTACAGATTCCAGGAGCTTATATACATTTACGACTGAATATTAATTTAAAACAAATCACCAATTCATTTCTTAACAATTCTTTTGGAATATAAATGTTAAAAATTCCAAAATAAAGACGATGAATAAGCTATTCGATTCATAACTAATTCATTAAAAGGACTTAATAACAAATGTGTCTATCCTGACTTTGTGACCATTTTTTATTTTATTTCCCTATATTATATGCCCGAAACATGTCTCCTGTGGCAATATAATAAATATTGTTGTTGTTAACATTGTCATCATAGTTAACAAGGATCAGCAAGAATAACTTATTGAGATCCACTGTCTATGTGCCAAGATCCAGGTGCTCAAAATGCTGGAGAAACTTCTATTAATAATAAAATAAAATAAAAGAAGAAAAGGAAGGAAGGAAGGAAGGAAGGAAGGAAGGAAGGAAGGAAGGAAGGAAGGAAGGAAGGAAGGAAGGAAGGAAGGAAAACCAAGAAGATAAAGAGATTCTTAAATTTGCAAGACTATTAAGAAATGGTACATTCTGCAGTATTCCATTTCCTTTAATCCGTATTTAGTGCATTATTTCAAGTCACAAAAATAATACCCTTTAAACTCATTGAAAATGGAGAAAATCCCCTTTGACATCATTATTCTTTTTACATATAGCCTGCCAGGCTGTTTTATTTTAGATGCAATTTCTGGAAGTCTAGTATACTTCCAGTTTGAGAGAGGGGAGTATTATGGACTGGACATTTGTGTGCCTAGAAAATTCATATGTTAAGGTCCTAACTAATAATATGATGGTATTTGGAAATGAAGCCTTTGGAAGGTAGTCAAGGTTAGATGGGGTCATTAGAATGGGGCCCTTATGGTGCGATTAATGCCCTCAGAAGAAGACACACAAGAAAAGTTGTTGTTTCTTTAAAGAAAGTGTTCTCTCATGGCAGGTGAGGATTAACAGAAAAAAAATAAAATAAAATAAACAGCAAAGGTTAAAGACAAAGAGAGAATCATAAAAGCAGCAATAGAAGAGCAGTTGGTTGCCTACAAGGGATCTCCCACAAGACTGTCAGCTGATTTCTCAACAGAAACTTTGTAGGCCAGAAGGAATTGGCACAAAATATTCAAATGATGAAAAACAAGGACCTATAACCAAGACTACTCTATCCAGCAAAGCTATCATTTAGAATCAAAGGACAGATAAAGAGCTTCCCCGACAAGAAAAGGCTAAATGAATTCATCACTATCAAACCAGCATTACAAGAAATATTAAAGGATCTTCTTTAAGAAGAATAAGAAAAATATAAATTAAAGATATGAATAATAAACTGGCCATATATATATCTATATATCTATATATCTATATATCTATATCTATATCTATATCTATATCTATATCTATATCTATATATATATCAATAATTACTTTAGCCCTGCCCAGTGTAACTCAGTTGGTGGGAGCATCTTCCATATACCAAATGGTTGTTAGTTCAATCCCTGGTCAGGGTGTGCATAGGAAGCAACTGATAGATCTTTCTCTCTCACATCAATGTTTCTCTCTCACTCCCTTTCCTTCTATCTCTTCCTTTCTCTCTTTCTAAAATCAATGGCCATGGCTCTAGCCAGTTTGGCTCAATGGATACAGTGTATTCCCCATCGACTGAATGGTTCTGGGTTAGATTCCAGTCAAGGGCATATACATGGGTTGCAGGCTCAATTCTCAGCCCTGGTCAGGACATATATTGGAGACAACCAATTGATATATCTCTCTCACATTAATGTTTCTCTCTATGTGTTTCTCTCTACCTTTTCCTTCCACTCTCACTAAAAGTCAATGAAAAAATATCCTTGGGCAAAGAGTAACAAAAAAAATAAATAAAATCAATGGGTATGTTTATCAGATGAGGATTTAAAAAAATATACAATTACTTTAAATGCAAGTAAATTAAATACTCTAATCAAAAGACATAGGGTACCTAAATGGATAAGAAAATAAGACCCTTCATATGCTCTGCACAAGAGACTTCAGATCAAAAGACACACACACATTGAAAGCAAATGAATGGAAAAAGTTATTTTAGGGGGGGGGGGCAGCAAAACATCTGAGATAGCAATACTTATACCAGACAAAACAGACTTTAAAATAAAGGCTATAATAAGACATAAAGAAGGGCCAAGCAATTCCACTTCTGGGTATTTAACTGAAGAAACCCACATTACTAAATTGACAGTACATATGCATCCATATGTTCATTGCTGCATTATTTACAATAGCCAAGATATGTCAGCAACTTAAGTGTCCATCAATAGACGGATGGGTAAAGAAGATATGGTGCATATATACAATGGAATACAACTCAGACATAAAAAAAGAATGAAATCCTGCCATCTGCCACAGTATAGATGGACCAGGGGATATTGTGCTGAGTGAAATAAGTCAAACAGAGAAAGACAAATGCCATATAATTTTACTTTTCTGTGGAGTTTAAAAACCAAAATAAAAATAATTAAAAAAAGCAGAATAGAAACAGACTCATAGTTACAGAGAACATTTGAAAAGTTGCCAGATGTAAGGGCGTTCAGGGGATGGTAAAAAGAAAGAAAAAAAAAAGGTGAAAAGATTAAGAAGAACAAATTGATAGTTACAAAATAGTCATGGAGATGTAAAATACAGCATAGAAAATATAATCAATAATATTGTAATAACTATGTATGGTGTCAGGTGGAAGCTAGATTTATCAGAGTTATCACTTTGTAAGTTATATAAACGTCTAATCACTGGGTTGTATACCTGAAACTAATCTATAATTTAAAAAGGGGTGGGGGGTTAATATGCTAATTAGACCAGACGTCCTTCCAGATGAAGCCTAGGCCAGAGGGAAGCCAGTGCCAGCAGCCAGGGAAGGAATGCCTACTCTTGCACAAATTTCGTGCATCAGGCCTCTAGTACAATATAATTTATATATATAACAACTGCAATTGAAAAATTAAAAAATTTGTTTTTAAGCCACCAGTCTGTGGCCATTTTGTTATGCTAGTCCAAGCTGACAGAGGTAGGGAGCCAACATTGGTGACTCACTTGAGCTCTGAGACATGAGAACTCCACACATAAAAAGAGCAGCAATAAGAAAAAGGCTATTACAAGAAAATCTGTAAAAGTTCACAAGGGTGTTCTTAAAAAACAAGTCATTTTCAACCTCAATGTTTTTTCTGACTATAAAATTGAGACATGTCATTATAGAAAACTTAAAAAGCTACTGATAATTACAACTGTCCACAATCACATCCCCCAGATATACCCATTAACATCTATATACCCTTGAAAGCCTTATTTTATTTTCATTTTAAAACATAGAAATGATAAATATCAATATGACATAGATTTCTTCCCTTTATTGAGATGTAAGTTGACTACTGATGAGATGTACAAATATCTAAGTAGGATATGTATGAGTTACTGTAAGTTAAATGTGAAAGGAAGGGCCAGCATTTCTGCTTTTCCTATATAAAATCTCCTAGAAATTCAGACCCAAGTCTAATGTGACCGACCATATTCATATGTATATTTGTGTGTATGTATGCATGTACACATAAACCTGTATAAAGAGATTCTTAAATTTGCAAGACTATTAAGAAATAGTGTGTATGTTTGTGTGTATGTGTGCTATGATTCACTTTGTCATCTTCACATCTCATACCTTATTTTTTGAATAACGTTTGCTAGTATTTCAGGTTTCAGACAAGGGAAGAAGACTGCTTCAGCTTTCCAGTCAATACTTGATGCTTTAGTTAGCAATGACCACAACTGCCAATTTCAAAATGAGTTAGAAGAAGCTTCCACTGGATTTTAAAAAACCACACACTGCTAAAGAAAGATCAGACTGAGGTAAGATAGAAAATATCTTAACACAGAAAACCCTCTTGGCCTATAAACATTTGAGCTAAAATTTCATCAAATGGTGAATCACATGAACTTTTACTAATTTTCTTAAATTAACCAACAACTTTCCTTTTCCTTACAAACTTCTTTTTCCTTTTAAACTTAGGTGTCCC